GAGAGGAAGAGGATTCATACCTTTCCCAAGGGTATTAGCACGTAAGTGAATGTAATGGATTCGACTGGAATTCGAACTCGATTCTCCGATTCCTCAATCGAAATCGTTATCCATGCTGAATTTAAGCATGATTAACCTTTAACCCTCTGCATTATTAATATTATTTCCCTTTCCACTGCATTCTTTTTCTCAGTTGAAGTATCCTTATTGTTAATTTTACTCAAAGTTGTTTTCTGTTGCCATAGCAGGATATAGCAACACAGCTATGAAATTCAAACACAATTGTCCAGGGATGAGAATCACCTTCAGTGGCAGGATAAGCTTTTTGTACACGAAATGAAGTCACAGACAGAATGATAAAGGTTAATGATCAAGTCTAGGATTAAATGTTAGCTCACCCCACCGACCTACCCACATAAACTGCACCACTTACTCTGTAACCCCCTACCACGAGCGGCTCTCTGGCCTTATACAAGGTGAGTCCCATTATAGAAAAAAAAAACAGATCAAAAAACAAATAACATCCCCAGTTTTTTTTTTTTCCGCTCTTGATCATGACTTGAATAGATTGTACAATAAAGAAAAATGCAAAGGGTCACATTGATTGCAGAAAATTGCCACCGGCTGCAAGACTAAATTTTTAGATTAAGTTAGGAAATATAAGATAAAATTATATTTTACAAAGACAATTCTTTGGAAGGAAAGATTCTTTGTTCGTGTTTTTCTACAGAGAGTTCAAAGGGTTAATTAAACAGTGAAATATTGGTCAAATAAAGTCGTGTTTCCACAAAACTGAATTTTTAAATTTTTTTGTCAGTCAAGAATTTATTCAGACGAACACAAAAAAATCGACTTTTTTGAAGACCTCTTGTGGGCAACACTGGGTAGCCTTGCCAGCCGTATTTTGTGCAGGCCTGGGGTAAACACTAGATCCCAAATGTTTGGACAGTATTTCAGCAATTCCAGACATGTATTGTTTGTCTATCATTTTTAATTAAACTTGTATTAATGAGGGACTGCTACCTAAATACACACACCCACATATATTGGATTTAATATTTCACATTTTACTTTATTCTGTATATTTGTGCAACAAACCATTTCTTAAAATGCTATGTATTGACTGAAATGATATATGTTCACTAACAAATGCAGAATTTTTTTTTCTTATATAAAATATATATATATATATATTTTTTTACTAACTGGCTGATTGATCATTTATTTAGCTGTATATAAAATGAGTAACCTCTGCATGCAACATCTGACAATTTTTACCTGTATTTATTTTCGTTTCCTTCTTCCTTAGCCTATGACCAAAATCCAATTCTTCTCATGGGCAAAAGACGAAGAAGGACTACATCTGAAGAGGTAGACCTCAAGAAATCTTCAAGCTCCGAGGCCTTTATCAGCAGGGGTCTGAGTGACAGCAAGCGCTTCTCTAAATCAAAGTCCTCGAACCCGAGTTACAAATCCTCATCCAAATCTCCGATCAGAAAGCAGCAGCAACAGGCAACCCTGCCACCACCACCGCCACCACCGCCTCCACCCCGTCCTTCACAGGTCTTTCAGTTTGACTCAGCAGTCAAGTCATCACATAAGTCGAATGTAGATGCTAAAGTTGGGGGTTATAAGGCGTTGTCAGCATCTTCGTCATCATCAACCTGCATCGGGGTATCAGCTACCACTGCAAACCATGCAACGTCTTCAGACAACTCTCTGACTACCGACTCCTCTCACTGCCGTAAGTCCTCCATGAACTTGTCTTCATCTTCGTCATCGTCGTCGTCGTCGTATAAGAATGTGCTGAGCAGTAAATACTCTCACTCCAGCAATTCGAAAGATGCAAGCTCGAGACGAAAACACAAACGTCGGAAAGACAACGGCCTTCAAAAACACTCGATAGACCATTCACATGTTGCAGAAAAATCCCTGCATCAAAAAGATAGATTGAAACGGAAAAAAAAATCATCTTCCGCTTCATCATCGTCGTCGTCCGCCATTTGTGAAATACCGTCCGCATCTGAGCCACCGATGCCTCTGCCATCCAGTGGTGAGAGCTTGTTGTTCGTTCCTAACATCGAAAAAACATCCATTCTACCAGGTTATTGTAAGCTAGCAACAAAACAGTCTAATCCTCATTCTCCGTTTTCTATAATCCGGGCTGCATCGTTTGATTTTAAAACTAAGAAAAACCTGAAAGTACTCAGCTCGTCGTCGTCATCGTCGTCGACTTCTTCTTCTTCTTCTTCTTCGTCTCTGACCGTCGATCGTAGTGCAACGAATAATAATGGTGAGAAGTATTCTTCTCAGCCACCTCCAGGTAACCAGGTTGCGTCTGCCGATAGGAACAATGATTGCTCTGGGGTAAAGCAAAAATTTACAGAAAAAAGTCATGGGAAAGATAAAAAAGCAATTTTGAAGAACACAAAATCTAGCAGCAACAAAAAGAAACAGAGTGAGAGAAATGGCTCGTCCGAGAGTAAAAGCAAAATTGCAGGTACCTTTTTAGATTTATCAATACCACGTAGCTGCATACATACATGCTAACCATACATATAATACATATATATATATACATGATATATGTATATGCATATATAATTTTTTAAGCAATTGACAACTCTTTCCAAATTCAACAAAACTTTTTACTTCTTTAAACATTACATTTAATAGGTACAAGTGTTGAGCAGACATCCTTGTCTTTTAAACAGTGAAATTACCGGCCTAGAGATTGAAAACTTTCAAGACCATGATTGCTTTCCCATTAAGCTACAAAAAGCCGCCACAGTAAAGCAATCCTACTCAAGAAATGTGCATATTTAACCAAAACATTTTGAATCTTACATCTATTAATGGGATATTTCAAAGTCTGTATCTACTGACTTTATACTTATTGGAAGTCACATCTTCTTTATTAAGACTCTCAATCACTAGGCCAGTAGATATTAAATTTGCTGTTTTTTTAAAAAAACAAACAGGAATGTCTACTTGAACATCTGTACCCACTAAATGTACCATTTGTATATGCATATATATATATATATTGTACTTTGAGTTGTCATATATACAATACACCCGCACGTGTATGTATGTCTCTTGAGAAAATGCTTGCTCTTTTTGCTGACGTTAATATTATTGTAAATCATGAATTAATGCGAGTATATTAATACATATACATATATGTATACTTATGGGTGTCGGATAGAAACAGTTTGCAGCACATATACACTAGCTTTATCACATGTGTGTACACAAGCTGCATATATATATATATATATATATGTGTGTGTACGTGCATATACCAACATATTTAGGTGTGCATTTGTACATGCATGATTTATATATATACATACATATTAAGGTTTGAAACGTGGAAAGCATGAATTTGTACATGTGTATATAGGTGTCCATATGTACAAAGAAATTAATCAAATACATATCTATATATAGGTATGCATATAAATACATATATATATATATATATATATATATATATTTATATTTATATATATATATATGTGCGTATATTATGCACATATAGGTATAGATGCAATGTAGATGAGGTGCTACTCAAAAATCTGAAGAATTTGGCCATGAAAAAAATTACTTACCTTCACAGATATTTTTCCACATATGTAAACAGCAATCTCACAATGAGAACAGCTCTCAAAAAGCAGAGGCAAATGTTTGTACTACAGTTCTCTTGCACAGTCCAAATTCGTCTAAATTTTGGGTAGATTCAGACACACACACAAACATATATATATATATATATATATATATATGCAGATTGTATTATTTACATTAACACAGTGAAACTCTTAGTTATGTATATGCTTGTCACACTTTAATAAAACCTATAAAATATGATGTGGCATGATATATATATATATATATATATATATGTGTGTGTTTATAGGTATATATATATATATATATTCATATGTATACATACATATGTATATATATATATATACATATATATATATATATATATATATGTATGTATATATATATATACATACATATATATATATATATATATATATGTGTGCATATATATATATATATATATATATATATATATATATATATATATTATGTATGCATATATATACTCATATGTCTATGTACATATTATTATGTTTTAGTATAGGATTGCAAACACACACACACCCTTACACATATCTATTCGCACACAGACACACACACACTTGCACACACACATATATATGTATAATAACTTAATGTCACTGTGCTTGAATAAGGTCATATTGGGTGTGTTATTCACAGTTTTCAACTTATTTATCATCCTGCCTATCATTGCCATTGCAAAAACTCTTTTGTTATAAGAAAATCCTGACGCCCTTTCTAGGTTTACCTCTATGAATTAAGGTACACCTATTAGACACCTGACTTGCTAGCTTTAATTATCTCTCACCTGTAAGAGTCACTTAGCAATAGTGTAAGGGATAAGTCTGTGAAAATTTCGTTCATTTCAAGGTAGTTCTTCGTTTTAAACAAATTCCATTTTTGTTCAGACATTTAAATTATAAGGCCTTATTCCAAGAAGGTAGGGTATTTTCAAAAACAAATCTTTAAACAGGATCCATAATTAGAATAAAGGGTTTAGTTAGCCAGCAGTTTTCAAAGTTTGGTTAGTTGCGCAGATTAAGATAAAAATGGAGTTTTGAGTTTGGTAATAAAGGGAGTTTTAGATATAGTCTGAAAATTTCTGCACAAAATAAATATTTAATAAAAACCCCAAAATACCAAATACAAACCTAAACTTGTATAAATGTGAATATCTTTTGTAAGAATAAAGAACTGAGAAAATTACGATATAAAACTTTTTCATGTGTCCAAAATAGGTACAATGTGCCCTGAATGTGTTTCTCTGACTTCCACCTAATTAATCTTTGATGATATGTCACAAGAAAAGCAAATGCTTGTATCCAACTTAGCCCCCAAATTTGTTTATCCCAAGCTGACTCTAAACTAGCTCGTCTCAACCTGACCCCAAACTTGCTTATTTCAACATGACCCCAAACTAGCTTGTCTCAACCTCACCAAAACTTGTTTATCTTAACCTGATTACAAACTTGCTTATTCCAACCTGACCCCAAACTTGCTTATATCAACCTGACTCCAAACTAGCTTGTCTCAACCTGACTCCAAACTAGCTTGTCTCAACCTGACTCCAAACTAGCTTGTCTCAACCTGACTCCAAACTTGTTTATCTCAACTTGGTCCCAAACTTGGTTACCTCAACCTAATCCCAAACTAGCTTATCTCAAACTGACCCCAAATTAGCTTATCTCAAGCTGACCCCAGACTTATTTATCTCAACATGACCCTAAACTCACTTATCTCAACCACACCCCAAACTAGCTTATCTCAACCTGATCTCAAACTTGTTTGACTCCATCCAGTCATAAACTTGTAGCTTGCACTGTTAAAATCAAATCCCCATATTGACAATTTAGATGCGAAAAGATACATTCACTCTTATTGCTAATTCATTCTTAATTAGTGTCACAATTTCTACTTATTATTATGCCATTAATGAATAAATACAATACATTAGTGAATTTAGTGCAGAGACTTCATTTATTTAAGAATTGGATAGTATTTATTTAGTTTTTTGTACTGTAATCCGTGGGATGAGTGTAGAAATTCTGGACAATGAGATAAAATCATTTGAGAAGCAATGCTTTAGACAGTACTTTCATTCTTGGTTTTATTTAGCAAACTCATGCCTAGATTGATTTACATTGCTATATCTGGGTGTGTCAAACGTTTTGCTAATTTATAAATACAGAGATGCTTAAACACTGGTGTTAAAATAAAGCAGCTGGGTGCGTTTTACAGTTGAAATCATAACCATGTCATCAAATATGCAGCCTAAATCATAGGTAATCTGAAACTTCATAAAAAAAACCATTTAACTTATAATGCAGACCCCACGTTTTTTTTTTTTCATCTTTTTTTTTTTTATCAGGAAACAATGGCTTTTTACAGAGATTTAACATTTTTCTGTCTTTTATATTTTATTTCATGAGGTTAACTTTCACCACCTCTGCCCCCCCCAAAATGTTTTTTTTTTTTTTTTCATAATCACGACCCTGCCAAAATCATTTATTGTTTTTTTTTAATATATTTTTTAATTTTTTTTTTTTTTTTTAAAATTATGTTTTTTTTAATCATCTGTTTTAATATGTGCATCATTTCACAAGTCTTTCCATTTGTAGCTGGAAAAAGATTAAAAAATGGTTGCCCCCTGCCTCACCGGTTGACAGGCTGTGTGTTTAAATGTACTGAGGAGATTGCTCCAACGGCCGTCATATTATCATTCTTCCCTAACTCCACCCCCCATCTCTCATTTCTTTTGGAATCAACCATTTTACTGTTGTTGTTTGGTATTTACACACCCCACTCTCTACTAGCCCCATCCATGCATCATCATTCATTTATGCATTCGTTCATCTCTGTTGTCTTGTGAATTGTTCATAAATTTCAGTCTTTACCATTTTCTTTTGTATTTGTCTTGCTTGCAGAATTCTTCTCTCTTTGTTTAGCAAAAAAAAAAAAAGAAAAAAAAAAGAAAAGAAAAAAATATGCTTGTCTGTTTTGGTCCCTATTTCATTTTTTCTGTTCATCACTTTCTAAAATGACACAAAATCTATTCGATTATTATTCCAATGATTTTGTAAGATCCCAGATCATTTCATCTTACATTTGCACTGTGTGTTAAAGAAAAGTATTTCTTTGCATATCATCCTATTAGTCAAATCCAAATTATCCCAATTCATGAAAAAAAAAACAAGAGACCTTCAGTAGCCTCCACCCAGGTATCACAATCCTACTTAAACAATTTACTTATTTAATTATTGAAATTAATTCAAATAAAATTTGAATGAATGCTAAATGAATGGTAAATTTGAAAAATAAAAGTTAAATGAATGCTAATTATGAATGTTAATTTGGAGCAAATGTTAAATAAATGCTAATTTGGAATGAATGTTAAATGAATGCTAATTATGAATCTTAAATGAATGTTAATTTGGAACAAATGTTAAATAAATGCTAGTTATGAATGAATGTTAGATGAATGCTAAATTTGAGTGCTAAATGCAAAATGTTTTAAGTATTTCATCTGAAATTCTAATTTTTTTTTAAAAATTGCCCTATGCTTTAGTTAGAATTACCGTTAATAAATTGAGGTAATGGAAATATTAGGTGTTTCCCTACAAGAAAATATTTGCCAATCATTGACTGAGTAGCCAGTACTGTTTACAGTTGAAATTTATAAAATCTTTTTCTTAAAATACCTTTTTAGGAATACAGCTTCCACAAGTCCAGTAGCTGTTATTGCTCTTTCCAGTATCAATAGGGGGTTTCTTTTCTAACCTTTTGTTTGAAGTGGTGTGGAATGTTAACATCTTAATTAAATTTAATTATTATTATCATCATCTATTATTACTAAAATATCACCAT